CACAGACTAGCCAGGGTGACTGGCGTAGAAGCAGGAGAGTTCGGGGGAGGTCCTGCAGCAGCACACTGAGACACCTTGAGTGTTTTTAAAGAGACTAAATTAACTGTCCACATTTCTAACTGGAGATTTCATATAAAATCCCCACTTAGCTTCTTCTCCAGAAAAGCCAAAGCATGAACCAGCACTGGGCAACAGTGAGAGGGGCTGCTCCCCATCAGCATTCACCCCAGTTTGCAGACCCTTGGCTCCTCAGGATCCCCACTGCCCTGACTGCTGTGTCATTCCTGGCTGCATCTCTCTTTTATGCTCCTCGAAGGTGCTGGTTCCCTCCTGTAAGGTGAATGTGTCGTGTCATAAGGAGGCATGAGGATTGGAGTTCACCATGTGAAAGCTCTGAGGGGAAGTGATTGTGGGCTTGAGCACTCACAGGTCTATGCCCACCTACTGCCCTGCCTCCTGCCAGCTTTTCATTCTAGTTCCCCAGACTTATGAGAAATGGATAGCATTTCCCTGTGGGTTTGCATTGAGGATTAGTGATGGCTGTGTGTGATGTATGTAGTGCCCGACATGCCCACCTCCACCATGCTACCAGCATGGTTAAACCTGTCTACAAGCCTAGCAGGAGCCTTCCATTCAGTACTTGGATATTGTTATGAGAAACATTGGATCAGTGGTAGAGTGCTTGCCTGCCATGCATGAAACCTCGCCCCCCTTTCCCAACCCAAAGAGCATGGAAAACAAACAAAAGCTCACAAAACAAAAATGCAGTTTAGACTAAAGAGTTAAGTCTAAAAATGTGAGGTTTTTTTCCCCCTAAGGAAACGCAGTTGTATATTTTAACTTTCCTCGGGATGGAAAAAGCATTTCTAAGCATAAAACCCATGAAAGAGGCCAAAGAAAGGTCAGTGGAGTCATATCCAGAAACTCTTGAGCTGTTCAACATCAAACAATAGTTAAAAGGCAGAAGGATACAAGAACAGTACCTGCCAGACTTATGCCGAGGTGAGCGGTTTGCCAGCTCAGTGTCTGCAGTCACGGATGAGTTAGAAAAGTGCTAACCCCACAGCATAGCAGACAGAGACTGCAGTGGAGGAAAGACGACAGCGGGTGTGCACATGGGGAAAGTGGAGCGGGCTGCTTACTTGTGTCGTCCGTTCCCTCGCTTTCCCACCACCAGCAATGGGTAGTCTTCAGCCAGAAGATCAGTACTGCCATATTTTCCTCCTGGAATTACCAATTGCCAGAAGCTTTTCGAGGAAGCAGTTTGGCACTATAATCAAGCACCTTAAAGGTCATACCTTTGCCCAGGTGTTCCATCTTTAATACTCTATCCAAGGTATATATGTTTAGTAATGCTTCGCCTCAAGGCTGCTTGAGTCACCTTTTCTTAGTCCTTTACAAAGAGCAGCAGCAGCAGATCTGCAACACTAGGGTATTAAAATCTCAGTCTCACAATGGACCTAATCTTCACTGCTGTGCCCAGCACTGCTACAGTGCCTGACACACAGATGGCCAAACGTATCTGTGAGTGTCAAGAAAAGAAAATGCTTGTGCAAAGCAATATTACATGGCAGTATTTTTTAACTGTTACTATTTAAAGACAGCTAAGTGCTCATCCATTAGAAGTGGAAATGATGTATAGATGGAGTACTGCGTGTGGACTCTGGAAGGGAGGAGCAGGGGGCTTCTGCGTGTTATTGGCACTTTCCTCTGTCACTTAGCATCCATCTACTGATGTGCCCTAGTCACGAGTGTTTCCAACCAACAGCAGCACACATGCTGAACAGTTAGAACTGCATCCCTTACATGAGTCATGATGTATTATTCTAGAAAGAAAATGTGAAGGTTTTAAAGTAATGATGGCTGAAATTTCTAACACCCTTTAGGACAAAAAAAGAGGTGATTACCTGAAAAATCCAAGCTCCATAATGTGCATTACCTTTTTAATGAGAAGGAAATCACCTAGTTTTCTGTCTGTGGGGGTCAATAATGACATAGCAATGAACACAACCAGGATTTCTCCCTAAGTTCCATCTTCCTAAGGAAAGGAAATAGGACAGTACCTTCGTAGGATGACGGCAGGAATGTGCAGAGCCCCAGCATTCCTTAGGAAAGAGTACCCGAGCATCCAGATGAACTGCTGTACTTGGAGAGTGAGGGTTCTCTTCAGGATGGGTAGAAAAATAAGCAACGTGTGGCTTTTCCTTCTATTTATTAGGTTACAATATGTGGGAAAACTTCAGAACATCTACAGACACCAGTCACTCCCCATAGGTGGACTGTTAGCCTAGAAGCTTCTTTTACCTAATAGCAGGGATAGACATTTCTATCTTAAGCTGCACATTGTTGTCCTGCCTAGGTATAGCAGAGGGTCACAGAGGTAATGTAGCCATTGCTAGCTATGAATGAACTTCTCTGATAGTGAGGCCCCTGCTCCTCAAGTCACCCAGAACAAACATTGGGACCATAACAACTCTTATAAAGAAAACATTTAATTGGGGTGGCTCACACCGTTTCAGAGGTTCATCATGACAGGGAGCATGGAAGCATGCAGGTAGACATGGTGCTGGAGTTGAGAGCCCTACATCCTGCAGGCAACAAGAAGTTGACTGTTAGTCACACTGAGGGAAGCTTGAGCAAAAGAGACTTCAAGGCCCACCCTCACAGTGGCACACTTCCTCCAACACGGCCATACCCTCCAATAGTGCCACTCCCTTAGGAGCTATTTTCTTTCAAACCTCCACACTTGCCTCAATTACTGTCCATCTCCTGCAATTAGGAATAGTTTTCTAAGTCGCTGGTGTTAGGAGGGATGCATTACAAGCAGGGAAGAAGCAGTATTACCTCTCCGACCACATGCTCACCCTCATGTGAGCACCACATGAATGCTCACCCTCAAGGACCTGTCTTTTGGTGTGGCCAGTGGCTGTGCTGAATATTATGTGTTTAGACTATGCCTGAAACTTTGTCTCATTGGAGAATTCAAATCATTAGAGTATCGAGCGCGTGTGCTAAGCTTCGTTTCTGTCAATGCTGGTGCTGGCCTCTTGCATGCAGAATTCTCTTGCCTCAGATGTAGTCAACTTCATGGTTCCAGATGGAATTACAGTGCGCACTCCCAACCCCCACGTTGCTCTCAGCACCTCTACCTCCCCGCAGCGTTGCCGTTCTAGAAGGTCTCAGAATTGCCCTTGTGTGAAGTCTTTCTCTGAGTGTCATTTCGCTCTCATCGTAGTGTCTGCACAATTACAGATTCATGCCGTGCTGGCCCTTCCCCACCCCCACCCCCCCGCTGATACTGTAGAGAGCAGGAGAGATCCCTCTGCCTCCAGCCAAGTTTTAACTTGAGCAGACCTGCCTCTCAGTCTATGTTAAGCCTTGAAGCCCTCTGATGTCATGAAGAATGGACCCTCTCTTTTCCTGTCTTTTCTCTAGCAAGAAAAATGTCCTGTGTCTGGCATACTTTTCCAAGCACCAACTTTTACCCTCTGAAGTGTAGGTGAATGTGGAGGTGGGCATGGCCTCCATGGCAGGGCCACTTCCCAGTGCGCTCTGCTGGACTGAGCAGCAACAGGCCATTGTTTGCTACTTACTTATTCCTGGAAGAGACAAGGTGACAGCCACAAAAAAGCAGCCAACCAATCGAAAGTTGTTTCAAACATTGCTTATGTCTTCTGTCTGTAAAAATTCTGGCTGTCCTTGACAAAGTCACTGCCAAGGGTTGGGCCCTGGAACATAGACTGTTTGTACAAGTTCAGTATTGTTTTGATTTTAGGTTTTCCTGGGGAAATGATTGTAAACAGTTAAGTTCTCAGAAAGACCCCTGCAGTAATAAACATAAACAGACTCGCGCTACAGTAAACCCTGCAATGACCCAAACACAACTGTCGCATGGAAGGGAGGCAGGTGGCCGGATGGGCCCATTGTCTCTACCCACGGGAAGTGAAGAAAGCAGGAAGCTCAGGTCTGCCCCATTCTCACCCAGGGTGACTCTCACTCTTGGTGACTGAGCCAGGAAGCTGTTCGCCGCACCAGAGCTTTACAGAGGAGCAAACCACCTGCTGACTTCTTTCGCCAGGCACGCTGTAGTGACAGTGTAGGCACTGAGCGGAACTATCCGGTGTGTTCAGGATTTGTGGTCCGTTCTCAAAAGCATAACCATCAAACAGCCAGGCTGCTTTGACAGCACTGACCAAGTCAAGCCAGAGTGCCTTTCTTTGAGAAATTCCTGCTATTGAGAGAATTTCTGTTTGGAACAAGACAGGAATACATCTCCCAAACACCTAGAGTAGCCAAGGGGAGAGCTGGGGTCAGTTCTAAAGCAGTGGCTCTCCACCTGGGGCTCACGACCCCTATGGGGTTGGGTCAGACGGTCCTTTCATAGGGGTCGCCTAAGACCGTCAGAAATCATAAGATACTACGTTACTATTCATAACAGTTAATAAACAGCAGCAACAGTGATTGTATGGCTGGGGTCACCACAACATAAGGAACTGTATTAAAGGGTCACAGCATTACGAGTTGAGAAACATTGTTTTAAAATAATTACCAATTAGTAAATTAGCATATTATTGCCAGGTGAAGCATGCCTTGATCAAAGGCTATTTTTTCCCATTATGTTGGATCATTAACACTGTGTAGCAGAGGTAGGTGAATCTGAACCTCGTCCTAGGTCAGGATGGACTGATCATCCTGGGGAGCGGTGACTACCACGATCTCACCCAGTTCTTCCTGCTGCAGGTCCCCACGTCCTTCACACACATCATCTGAGGCACAGACTGGCCCTGGGCAGCAGATGCTACTACTTGTATCTTCTTTCCCATGGCACAAATAAGTACCTTAAGGAGTAGAGAGTAAAATAGCTAGCTGCCTTAAGGCCAAGGGGCTGCCAAGAGACAGAGCGAGCTCCCACAGCCTGGCTGAGGAGGAACTGCCTCCAGGTTCTCTTGCTTCTTGACCATATGAACAAAAACTTGAGTGGAATGGCTGCTGTCTTCTAGGAAGAGAATGGAGACTATACATACGTGGAAAGAGTGAAGATACCACTGGATCACGGGACCTTGCTAATCATGGAAGGAGCCACACAAGCTGACTGGCAGGTGAGGACTTGAAACTACCACTAATTTCTCTCTGGAGGCAGCGTCTGCGCTGAGAAGCAGCCATTTCAAAGTACACGTAGGGAGGGAAGCGAGTGCTTATACTGGGCAAGTAGCAATAACGTGATGTCACCCAGGGAACCGGTCAGAGCAGACCCCTCAGCAGAGGTTTCTGGTTGGTTTTTGTAGTGGTGGAGGGGTCCCCGTCCGTGCTACCGCTGCAGCCTCTGGCCGCTGTGCCTGCTGGCCACTTCACACGTGACTAGCATGAATTTACTTGTAAAACTCTCAGTGGCTGCCATCTGGGGCCTCACAACACAGCAACTATTCTAGGTCAGTGTGGGTAAAGTCACATTAGATAGAAGCAACAATTAGAAAAGGTCGAGATGCCTTGCTGCCAGGGATCAGGGAATTTTGTTTCAGAGGAGACCTTTTCCCACGGGACTATAGAACACCTGCTCGTTTAGACAGGGATAAAATGGAGCTATTTCCATATCTTCATAAATAAGTTGTAAATCATGTTGAACTAAAAATAATGCACGTGTATTTATTCCGGACAACTATTAATATTTCCATTTAGCACCGCGTGCCCAAAGAATACCACTCCAGAGAACCGAGAGTAAACCTAACCTTCCGGACCATTTATCCAGACCCCAGAGGAACACCTGGAGATGGGACATGTCCACAAAGTTGCCACTGAGGTGGGGGCTGTGCACCTAGCAGCCCCTCCCCCACTCTTGGAAGCACTTTGAGAAGCTTCTCCATGCACTCTGGTGATGTGGCTGTTTGGAAATTGTGGAGTTTGCTTCCCAGGTCCTCCTCCTTTGGATGGGAGCCATGTTGCCAGCATGTCTACGAAGGGAACGGTTGCTCTGAGACAAATCTCTAAATCAAGGGCTACCATTAGGCAAATTAAACACTGCTATAACTGTGCTCACAGATGATTTGGTCCATCATTCCCTTTCCTGCTGCCCTCCCCCCTTTAATTTGAAGAAATACAAATGGCCTTGTGCCTCTGGGAAAAATCTGAACATATTTGTTCCTTATGACGTTAGCAAACGGAGATTGTAAATACATGTCAGTGACTCTGGAGCCTTCCACAGGCAGACAGCTGCTGAAACCCAAACAGAGGTGGCTTCTCTGGGCTTTGTTGAAGTCTTCCTTGACTCCTTAGCATCTTGGCTTGTGTGTTACTGTAATGGGAAGCTGCACGTCCAGGAACACTGTTTATTCAACTGATCTCCCAGCTGTCTGTCTTCCCGGGCACACTCAGGATACCGGCCTCTGAGTAAAGAGGAGGCAGCCTGCTCCTGTCTACACTCTAGGCAGTCCTACTTGAAAAGACAACACTGTCTCCTGGAAGCGACGAATAACTGGATGTCAGGAAACCAGGCTGAAATTTTGGTTGAAGAACAACAAATGCCCAGTTGGTAACAGCTGTTCCAATAGATTCACTTTCCCTGGAGAATTCCTTGAGTCATTTAAACCCAAACCAGATAGAATCAGAGCAACCCTGCAGGGAATAGCCTGGGTGACCTCATGGCTCTTTCTACCATAGCTTTCCGAAGCCTGTGACTAAGGCTCTTCTGACTCACTGTTCCCTTTTTCTGGGTGCCCAAGTTCAAGGGTTAGCCTGTGATGTCACCAAGGTTTCCAAAACAGAATGGGGTAGCTGCCCCTTGTTGCACCATAAAAACACATGACTCCTTGGCTTTGGCTCAGAAGCAGTATACCCTATTAACTCAAACCCAGAGGAGGAGTGAGTGTCCGTGGATGAAAGTAGGACACGGGTTAGGTAGAATTTCTCTCCTGTCCTGGGAGGGAAATTTACTCTGGGTTTTTATCCTGTTTCCATTCCGTGGATGATCCCTGTGACATGGACGGTTGCCAGAGGCTGGGCAGGCTCACTCAGGGCTCAGATGAAACCAGCCTGACTAGACACTGTGCTCCCACAGCTAGCTCCCTGGTTCCTTGTATCAAAGTCTGTTTTTTTAAAAAAATATGTATAGTTTCTTCTATAAGAAAATTTAAAGGCTGTGTTAGAGTTTTAGCATCATTCTAAGCCTTCCTAGGAAGAAAGGATGAATCACCGTGGGCATAAGCTCTCTAATTCCCAGCTGTTCTCCAGTTAAAGCCAAGAAAACCTAGTGTGGTCAGCTAGGATTAGGAATTTGATAACTGAAGCTGGAAATCCCTCCTCCCTTTCTTATAAATAAAAAGACTAGCTGGTAGCAGCTCCAGGTCTTCCAGCATCCCATCTCACTGCAGGGCCTTATCTCTCCCAAATTCGGGGTTACAGCACTCTGCACTCAACACAACCCTGTCAGACCACGCGGCCTGGGCCTCCACCTGGGCTTCTTAGGCAAAGAGCAGAAGTCACAGCGGCCTGCCCTTACTGTCGACTTCATGTGCTCTCAGTGCCAGCTATTTCTCACCACTTGGACCCTGAGCCATCTGCAGTGCCACGCAGGTTCTTGCCGTAGGGCAGAACTAGAGAGTTTGAGTGTGGATAGGAATGGTGATGCTCCCTGCCGCAGCAGCCGTTTGTAGATCCTGCACACGAACAGAGCAGTGTGCAGCTGAGCATGGGGGCAGGCGTTGTCCTCGTTGCCCGCTGAGCTGCTGTTGCCTGCAGGCCCTGTCCTGTCCTGAGTTTCTACGCATCACCTCGTCTTCCCCATGCTGATTCTGCTGTGGGGACAAGAAGTGGAGTCCCTGAGAGTGTTTTAGTGGGACTTGTGGTGGTAGAAATAAGTTTCAAAGGCTGATTCCAAAGCCGGTGTCCCCTTTCTCACCTGTGCTGACCTGAGGTGGGATCTCTGAGCCCTCGACCCACAGAACTGGCCATGGCCAGCTGCAGGCTGCCTATGGTCTCCGGATTCTTGTGCATCAGGGCAGATGCCTGCATCATGTCGTCTTAGCCCACATGAGCATCTTGTTGGAAGCTGTGGCCCACTGAACTCAGTGTCATTAAGCTGGGGAAACTCATTTTGGCGGGGGCTGGATGTGGTGAATTTAGAGACAGCCTTGGGCAACATCCCTAGCAAGTGGTTCCTAACCATATCCAAGCAGATATACCTCAGAAGTTTCACAGATGGGTGAATTTTTCCCTGCTGTTTCTCCTGTTGTCTCTGAGTACATGTGGGAACCCCCATGATGTCCAAACTAAGTGTGAGCCATCGTAAGAACATCGCTTTTGCAGTCATCGGGTGGCGGGTACACTGGGCTTCACCCCAGACGTGGAACAGTACAGAAATGGGCTTCGCTTTGGTGCGGGTTCACTAGCTCAGCTGATGGTCTCTAGCGCATTTGGGTCGCAGTTCATCCATAAAAGCCCTTTAGACTCCTTTCTGCTACCTCCACTGCCTTGATTCTGCTCTGCTGCATGGAAGGTCCGTCTGTCCCATCAGTGAAGAGCCCAGGCTGCTGAGCCATGTCATAGCAACCCTGAAAGAGTTAAGTAGGCCTGCAGGGAGTGCTCCCCTCCACGGGCTCCAGGGGAAAGCCTGACAGATGACGGGTCCCTGCTCTGCTGGGAACATTTCTTCCTTGAGTTCTGGCAGCTTTTTCTTGGCTGCAGAGGATCTAAGACCCACTTTGCCTTTTCTGGTCATAAACACTTGGAGTGTTGAATCTGAAGTCTTGATTACTTTATTTTTTAACGGTTCCTTTGAAAAAACTGGTTGTTTCCATAGTGATGTATTCTGTTTGTTTAAATCCTTATACATGATTCCACCCACAAGCTCCCACCAAGAGACTAGTTCACAACTGCCCTTCCCTCTGGGATCCCATTTTCTCTTCTGAGACACACACACACACACACACACACACACACACACACACAGATAAGATCTGGTAGGCAAACGACGCTGATGTTTATCAGGGCAGAACGCTAATAACGGTGCTGCCCCCAGCTGGGTTAGCAGTCCCACGCCTGGAGTGTTACAAAAGCATTTCCCTGCCTATGATCAGAACCTGGTGTTGGTGAATAATTTGGGGGTTGGGCCGTTTGAGAGACCCCCAACAAGGAAGCAGGTATGGCAAGCAGCACTTGTAACCAGCACAGCAAAAGCCAGACTCTAGGAGTGTGAATTTGCCACTGTTCAAGCAGAGCCTTGGTCCTCAGTCCGACCCGTTGGTTTGACTCTGTAGACAAATCCTGTCGTCTGAAAGGGGAAGGGGGCTCAGAGTGTATGCTGCTGGCACATTCCGTCAGACTTGAGTAAAAGCAATTCCATGAGTTGTTCATTTGTTGTAAAGGCCCTGGGAAAGTGAGGCGCAGAGGACATAGCATGTCTGTGCACTGGCAGAGCCAGGTGCCTGCCAAGCTCCTGGGGTCACTGGTCCTTGCCTTCTATGTCTTTCATTCTGTGAAGACTCTGGGCGCAGGCAGGAGGCAGCGGTGGGCCACGCGAGTGCTGGAGGGCCGCGTGACCGGTGCTGCAATTAGCCTCCCACCGCAGGAAGGCTGTGGGTGTGCGGTGACGAGCTCACCGCCCGCCAGGGTCCCCAATCAGAGTACGCAATACCTCGCCCTTCCGAGTGGCTGCGCGGGGAGTCGCTCCACCTTTGCCGGGCTTCTTCCGGTGCCAGCCTCACCACCAGAGCCACACGCAGTGGAAGAAAAGCCCCTGCGGGAGCCAATCTGAGAAGAAGGTTGTATCCTCCCTGCCTGAGGAGCGACTATGGGATGGTTTGTGAAGAGTATCCTCGGGCTCCCTAAACTGAACCCAGGGATGTTCCTACTGCAGGACCATCCAGGCAAGACTGGAAAGAAGCAGAACCTCACAGCAGAGGCCAGGGGCTGACTCCCTTAGGAGCCTCCTGGGGTGCTGCCTCTGGGACTTCAGTTCCCACCCCCCACCCCCACCCCCCAGAAACTTAGCCTTCAGCCTTCCCTCACTGTCAGGGAGAGGGAAAGAGAAACTCCAAGCCCTTGAGGCTGCTGGGAAGTGAGCCAGAGCCAGAGTTTTGAGCTCTTGCATATGCATTTCCCTCTTGGCGCCAGTCATGCTAGTATAGCTTAGAGACTACTGTCCCCACTGAATAGACTAGAAGACTGATGTATAAAGCATACCATCTCCAAAGTCACCCAGGGAATGAGGCAGCACAGGATGTAGCAGGTTTCATCCGCCACTCCCAGTAATCTAGTGAAGGAACATGCAGCAGCCCCATGGGACACTGCGCCTAAGACGCAGCCCTGCAAGGATTGGTGCTGATGGTGTGCACACTGCACCAACCAGGTGGCTCCATCTCACCTCACAGGGTAGCATGCCTCAGCCATGGTGCCACCTGCAAGGGCAGACTTAGGGAGCAACTTGATAGCCTCAGCCCCACTCCAACATCCACCTCTTGATAGATAGAACCGCTGCAGAGCTCTTGTGGGGAGTGAGGTAGAGTCACTCCGACCTGAGTTTGTGTCTCAGCTCAGCCCTTCCAGAGTTTCCTAGCAGCAGCTAATTAACCTTCATGCCTCAGTCTCCTCAGCTCCTCAGCCTCCTCTTAGAGTCTTGAAAGGCTTGACACCAGACATGCTACATACTACATACGCGTTTATAATGCAATTCTCTTAAGTACATTTCACATGCCCTCCTAAACCCTACCCTTGACCCTTGTGTTGGCAGTCCTTTTCTGCTGATGCATGGCCGGCCCTCTCACCGTGCCCTTTCCCTGGTGTCCCCTGACCCTGCATGTGCTGCTGTTGGAGTCCTCAAGGGTGGGGGTGGGGAGGTTTTCCAGAGAACGGCCAAAATGAAAATTGTGGAACTAATCACATTAAAATCTGACTGCACTTAAACCCTCTAGGGTTTGGCTCTCAGGTGCCAAAGTGGCCCAGCATTGGTGCTCAGCTGGCCCTTGGCCGCCCTACCACTTGCTCCCCAGGTAATTGGTCTAGTGCACACCTGTGGCTGGAGCCCAGGAGCCCCCTGCCTTCTCCC